GCTATATAGGTATGTGCCGCTGTGAAGGGTATGGTTTTCAAGCAGTTTACTCTAGGATAGGGTATATAAATCAGAGCGTTTGGGTCTAGAAAAGGGTATCATTTTTCACAGAACTGACTAGTTGGTTGAAGAGTTTATCTAGACTAAGGAAACCAGGAAATTCCACTCAAAAAAAAAAATCAAATCGCCAAGTTTAAATTTACGCAGATCAGCCTCAGCAGTGTTGATAGATGGGGGGACTTGGGGAGTTTACTCTAGTATAGGGTAGCAAAATTCAGCTGATCTAGCTCTGGTATAGGCTAAGGGTTTCAGAGTCCCAGCGGCACATCCCCACCCAGAAATTCCCAAAGTACCCCCCCGGAGCGTATAAAGGACTCGGAAAACATAGCAAATCTACTCAGAATTCGTGTAAAAATCCTACAGAGTAAGCCCAGGAGGTGATCTTTACGCAACTACAACTGTAAATGAAGTTTTAGCAGCAAACAAAACAAAACGCCTGCTCGGAGCCCGCTAGCCCGCACGGGCACACGAAGCAGTCAGCGGTAGTCAAAACAGCTCATGAGCAACTGCTGATCTTATAAAGTCTGGATTTTTGAATGCGTGTTTACGCGCGTGGGAATAACGGAACTCGCGAAGGCTTTTACATAAAAACAAGCCCAGTGACCCCTTCCTTTTATTGTTTTAATATAATATTATTATTATTGAGAGGAAGCGTCAGAAAAAAAATAAAAAAATTCTACGGAAGGAAATTTGCACTTTGTGCAAATTGCCGTTTTTCCAAGTTTACAAGAAATCGGCTCCGTAAATTTATTTTAAAATTGTGCATTTTCATTTTCAGATGCCAAAAGCTATTGATTTAAAAAAACTCGGGGTCACCGGATTAATTTTTTAGTTATTAGTGACATAAGCGAAAAATCAGGTCTGAAAAATCCTTTTAGAATGTTGCCATGGTAACTGCTGACGACAAAAAGCCTATTTAGGTCAAGTATAAATGATATAATCCAAACCTACAAAAATATTACAGTGGCCCTGGTCTACCTTTTTGTTCTATTCTTACAAAGTTATGAGCCGTCAAAAACCTGAAAACTGGTACGAGCCACCTTGAGTTATTTTTGAGTTATTTTTTTTGTAAAAAAATACCTCTTAGTCGGCGCGTCGGGTATGTTATGGACGGGTC